TATTGTGTCAAGTATTTGACTTTACTAGTTTGTCAATAAGTGACTCACAACGAATGAGTTATTTTAACGTAAAATTTAGAGTGGACCTCCTGGAACATGCAAAAAATGTTAAAATTACAATTTTTTTTTTTTACTGTGAAGCTTATGCGTTTGGAGTTGACTCTCGTTCGCACAGCAAGATTTTATATTGAACGAAATAAAAATCTCACAACAATATATTTTGTATCTTTCATTCCAATATACTCATTACGTTGCGGCACGTAACGCGACTCGTGACGTAACGATCGCGAGACGCGTAAAAAACGTCACGTAAAATTTCCGATCGGGCGGAAAAACTCGCCGAGTTATTGGAATGCGATTCGACCCCTCGCTTAAATCACTTCGGAGCAAAACAAAGCGCGCGATTGGACACAAAATATCGCATCGATAATTTGTTTTACTTGTTTGTAACAAAGTAAGAGGTAATTTTTTATATTTATTGTTTCCGTAAAACGCTCGTATGTTCGAAACAAAGAGTTAGGTAACTGATAAGAAAATTGTGATCGTTTTTTTTCCCGAGAAAACTGTGCGAGATAAAAGTATTATTTTTTTCTTTTCGAGCAAAAACGACCGAGCGAGCAAAGAAACGATAAGTAAAGTTTTTTTTTATCAAAATGTATTTCCGAAGACGCACACAAAGAACAATTAGTCGCGATTAGTCGCAATTATTATTCGCGTTGTTGGCAACTTTCTTGCTCGTTAGTCAACTCGTTTATAAATTAATTCGAGCGCGAGGAAGCAATTCCGGTCGCTTCGCGGACTGACGTGTGTATGTGTATGTGTGACGAATTGTAGGCGTGAATTGATCAAAACCGTTTTCTCAATGAACCGAATTCTCTAATTGCGAGTACACTTCCTTTCCGATTCACGGCTCCTTAAAGTGATATCGCGACAAAAAAAAAAAAACTGTCCAAACAAGTCGTTACCTTCGAAGGTGAATAAATACCTCGCGCGTGTTCAACGAAACATCCGATGTCAAAGTCCCAAGATTTCGCAGAGGTCTTCTAATCGTCAAAAAACTCACTTTTACGCGGAGGAAGATTTCGCCGGAAACGCGAAGTTCTCGAACCGGAGACTGCGAATCAGAAATTTAAGATAGACCCAATTCGCAATTTGGAAAACTTCTCCCTAATTGGTCCATTGTCAAGCCAATCCCGATTCGTAGTGAGATACGTACTTGTAAACCCGCGTTCGAACTGACGCGTTTCACGCAGAAAAAAAACGTTGAATCGCGTCGAGAGGAATCGCTTTTTTTCCGCAGACGCGGAAACAACGCACGAAATCCGTTTTTAAAAAAACACGCGGCTCCGAACGAACGCGTTCTTTTCAAAAACCGACGCCGATCGATTGCTCAACTTTTCTACTCACTCTGATCCCCCGGCGATGGTCCTTTCCTTTCTCCGACAAACACGCAGCTTGCGGGAACGAGCGTAAACAAAAACAACTCCTTTCTCCGTCGCTGAAAAAGTCCTCCCTCCCCGAGGAGATTGAAGCAAATCCTTCGCGATTATGTTCCCGAATCCGCGGTGCGGATCGCAGCGGTTACGTTTTCGGTTGGGAACAAAAAAATCAAAAATTACCAATTATAACAAAATCGCGTCGACGTGGCCACGCGCGATTTCAGTACGTGCCGGAGTGAAACTGAAAGACTTCGACTCCTGAACTCTTCTGCGTCGCTCACTCTCTCTTTCGTCCCTGTCTCCGTATGGGTTTCCTCTCCCGCTCCTTCTCGCGTCGCTCGCTCTCTCTCTCTCTCGCTCTCGCTCTCGCTCTCTCAACGAATCATCGTTCTTTACTGCACCATACGCGCGCTACTACCATCGTGACCGACTTGTATTAGCGCGCGGAGCCCCCCAGAGCCCCCATTGTGTGTGCGGAGAGCGCGAGAAGAACAAGACGGCGGGAACCAACGAAAGTGGCAAACCCGCGGTTAACGTACACGCAACCGCGCACGTAACACACACGCGCGCGCACACACACAGACACACGCGTGAAGTTGACGCAGCCGGAGTTCCCTACTTCTCGACCAAAATACGGCAATTAAAGCTAATCGCACGAAAGGCAATCTGTTGTTTTAACGCGCCATCTCGATAGGTAATTGCCGCCAGCTCTCGATGACCACTCGACTCGCTTAAAACGATACGCAGTGTTTTTTTACTCCATTCGCGCGGAAACAAAAACAAACCGCTTTGTTGATATCAAAAGGGTTTTACGGAAAAACAAATCTTTGTTATGTCGAGACGGTAAAAAAAGATAAAACTCGGTCTCTTTGAGAAAAACAATTGTTTTCCTTCCTCCCGTTTCGCGCGCCAAAGGTGTTTGTTTTTTGTTCTAACAAAATTGTAAGATATGAGACGCGTAATAAAATTTTGACGGAATAAGTTGTAGTTTGAACAAACAAAGAGAGGTCAAATATTATACAGAATTTTACGTGGTTTACCTGTTTTTTTTTTTTTTTTTTTTTTTTTTAAACGTACGTCGTGTGGTTTCTGTTCATTTCCAAAGTTTATCGTAGTATCCAATGGCGGTAATTCTCTCGACGTTAGTTTTATGACTGCTCCACCTAAGTAATAATCGTTCGTTCTATAATTGAAGCAATCGACATTCAATCGCCCTCATCCGTGCGGTAATTTCACGAAAAATTACCGCACTTACGAATATATGCGATGATATTTCGTGTATATTACAGTAGAAAAATTGATTGTTCAATATGTAACATTTTTTTTTACATACGAACAAATAAGAGAGAGCTTGCTCTCTCTTGCGTTACAAACGCGCTGAATTTCTTATGCATTTTTTTAGTTCGCTTTAATAGATAAAAAAAACACTTACTTGGAGCGCGGAAAACTGAATAATTTTCCTCGCACATATCGATCTCTGCAATTGCAATTACGGAACGTGCCGAGGCATTGATGATACAAGCACGTAGATGTAGGACTTACTTTTACAGAGTGAAGTGTCATGGCGTATCGCACCGAGCGCCGCCATATTGAACGCGACGCCAGCGCCTCCGCTCGAACTGGAACCGAAGCGCGAGGTAATCACACAGCTTCCAAAATATTTCTATTAGTGTAACAAAGTCCGCGGCGGCGGGTGGCAACGTTCAACACGTACGTAATTTTTAGAATATTTCCTCTTTTTTTTTTTTTTGCTCGTTTCTTCGCGCGCTCCATCCAGTTTCTCGCATTATTCGAGAGAGAGAATCGATCACGATTATTTCTTTTGTCATTTGTCTTTTATTCCGAACATAGTGTATACAATTGTTACTTTACATAGTTTTTCGTATATGGATCTTTCTATTAAATGTATCAGTCATAAACTTAAAAAAAAAAAAAAAAAGAAAAAAAACAAAAAAACAAAGTGTTAAGTGATGGGCGGAAGAGTGAGTTTAAAATTGTTCTTTTTTTTTTTTTCGGTTTTTCGAAACTGAAAGTGTCAATACATCAGAGACTTCTGACTAGATTTAATAAACAACAAACGCAGCTTATTACCCGTGTATGTACAAGTACTGAAGTGTCCGTTTCACGTTGACGTAACAAAAATAGTGTTAACGCAATATGTACATAGAAGAGGGGTGGGGGAAAAGGGAAACAGTCTTTTTCTGGCACGAAATCGAACGCAATCCTCCGTAACCGACTGATGCCGCGATCGCAGAAGCTTTTTCTTTCCACATTTTTGGAAATGTACAAATTTTATAGACGTACAAGATTATATATATATATATATGTATATAGAATATATAAGAGAGGTACTCGGATTTTTTTTTTTTCCAGAAAGAGAGAGAGCTCCTGGATGATTATCTCGCACGACGATATATCTCCTTCTGTTTTTTTTTTTTACATACAGAACAAATATTTATATATATATATATATAATGTATTTATATATAGTAACATTCAAAAGACCGCAAATACAACTTGCGCGATTCGCACACGACTTTGTTCCTCGACGGAGAAGAAAAACCAAGTGGAACGCGAGACGTGCCGTTCTCTCTCTCTCTCTCTTTCGCGAGAGAGTAAGAAACGGACGATAAAGCGGTTTTATTTTTTTAGTTTTTTTTTTACCGGTGCACAATAGAAGATTCTGATTTTTGACACTACTATGTAGGTATGTAACGCGAAAAATGCACGCTCCCAAAAATGCGTCGTGAAGAATCCGCGCGCGAATTACGCCTGCTACTTCGATTACTGTTTTTTTTTTTTTTGGTTTTGTTTTTTAAAGACGACGAGGTTTTTGTTTCTACGGTATGTTAGAATAAAACGTCACAGAGTATCAAAATAATTGTATTCGTGTGTGCTAATCGGATTTTCTTCCCTACAAATTGATCGCGGTAGTAGACTTCAAAGAGGAATTCGTTTCGTTCAAACTCGCGATTCAAACGTCATCAACCCTTAATTGGTCGCAAAGACGCGCAACTGCGTACGTAGTTTTTGTTTTCTTCTCTTGTTATTTCAGCGCGCATAGTAAATCTAGTGAGGTAACAATTTGTTTTTCACGTCATTTGAAAAAAAAAAAAAACAAAACAAAACAAAAATTAAGAAGTCCGTAGTATAAGATCGTAATATGACAAGGTTTCTTTCACGTGTGAGAAAAAACGCGACTCGTTAAGGGTCAATTCTTCCGAGTGTCTTCCCCCGAGATTCTCTTCAAAAGCGTATCCAATTCCACGTGGTCACGTGTGCGTCGCGCCGACGATCCCCACGAAGCGCGTCGTCGGCCGACGACATCGTGCGAAGAGAATGAGAGAAAACCTTCTCTCACATCTCTCGCGCCATCACCCTCTCTCAGCAGTCAGCATCGTCTCGCCGCGCGATGATTGCCGCCCCCGGTGTTTCAAATCACATGCCGCCGGGCTTCGGAAGATTCGTGTCGTAGGCTCTGATCACGTCCGTCTGGGTTACGGAGCCGCCCTCCTCTTGCGAGAACGCAAAACCATCTGCATCGCGCAGCATGCGCAACAACAAAGGTCGCAAATCGTTAATATCTGTCGTTTAACAATTAAGTGCGTGTTAATTGCATGCAATTGTGGTGAACGGAGGCCTTAATCTATCTCTCGTCCAGCGACGGGCTCTTCTGTTTTTTTTTTTTTTTCTATTTTTTTATTATTTATTTCTTTTCCACGCGTGGTAACTTGATCGAAGTCGAATAAAACTCGAGCAATGTAAATTTTTACATACTTTGAACAAAAATTGAAAACGCGATCGAGAAGCTTTCAAAAGTCCGTCGCTAGACAGAGAGCGGCCGTTGTAAATTTTTTCGAAGAAAAAATTGTACAATGTACAGCGAACTGGTCGAGAAAAAAGCGCTATTTATAGCACAGATCGAAACTAGTCTCACAGAAATCTCGTTCCACTAGTCGAAACTATGTAGCGTATATATATGTATGTATGTATGTATGTACAGAGCATTCCGGAAGTGTCGCGACCTCCTTCCGCACAATCAAGAGATAGATAATAATAAAAAACATATATCTACGAGTATCTGAAAAAATATCTGAAAAATATCCGAAAAACTATCTGAAAAATATCTGAAAAAAAAAACGGACGAGAGAAAGAAGCGATTTTTCCGGAACGCCCGAAATAGTAATAATAATAATAATAATAATAAACAACGTATATGCATCGGCCGCTAAAAAAAAAATTGAATATAAAAATTCTCAACTATAAGACTGTGCGTATATATGTGCATAAAATATGTGCAATTTGAGATTCATAAATTTATGTAAAAAACACGTGGATTTTCTCGTACAATCAGTAAGTATGTAATAAATAAATATCTTTAGGACGGCACTGGTCGATAGACGAAGAAACAACGAACAAAGAACGAACGGACGGACGAACGAGAAAGCCGTGAGAAATTTATTTAAAAAAGCGCGTGCTTACACAAGTGCGGAATATCGCGAGGAAAAATTACACACGAGGAAGATTCACTCACGCAGGAAAGAAATTCATTCGCGGAGAAGTTGACGGTTTTTTTTGCACAGAGAGAAGAAATTAATTTTTCTCGTTTCGAGAGAAATATCGCGGGCCGATTGAGAAAAAAGATTTTTTTCTCCCGAAAACGCGCGTCGATTGAATTCTGTTGACAGTGACAAAACTTACGTGACAGCTCCACCTCGACATTGACTCTGGAGGCGGCGTTCGAGCGCCTGGTGAAAACACTTTTAACGTTTTTCAGCAACCTTGCCGTCTCCGTCAATCTGCAAAGCCGGGCATTCAGCAAATAATTCAAGATATTTTCGGCTCTTTTTTTTTTTTTTTTTTTTTTTTTTTGTTCGGAGAAACTCTTCGTTCGCGTCTTACGACGACTCTGTTTCTTTTTTTTTGTTTGGTCCCTATCTTTTTGCGAGATATCGTTGCTTGATATCTCATAAAAAATAAAAAAATAAAAAAATAAAAAACACACTTGACCAACGGTACTCTCCAATTCCTTTCAACGCGCGGAAAAAAAATATTCTCACACATTAATTATTCTCTTGACGATCACGCGCGAACACAATGTATGTGTGACAACAAGTGCGGTGCAGTATAAAAATCATGCGGGGGAAGGGGAAAAAATCGAGATAACAAAAACACAAAAAGCGAAAACTCAAAAAAGTCGTGGGGAGAATGTTTCGTCGAAGGTTGTCTTGCAAAAATCGATTCTCGCTGTTTATCGAAGAGCGATAAGGAAGGGGGGAAAAGTCGATGAGATTCGATTCGAACGGATCGTGCGCGAGACGTTGAAAAGCCGATTGCACGAACGCAATTCATGCGAGCACAAACTATAAACTAGTTGTGTACATCTAAAATATATATATATATATGTCCGCTTTTATTATCGTGACAATTGCATTTGAGACTCGTGAGGAAACTGCGTGATTGCCATTTCAGATCGCGCGCTGTGCCACTTAATTGTATTTACTCGACGAAGCGATCATGCGTTTCTCGCTATTATTAAATCAGCAGTGTGTGTTCTTCTCGCTTGTTGCTTGGTGTATGTGTGTGTGTGTGTGTGTGGAAGAGAGAAGAAAGTAAAAGTGGGAGAGAGCAATTACGGTGCTACTCTGCTAAGGGGGTACTTACACCTTGCGAGATCGGCGATGGCATGCACAGATCTGCAACGGGATACCACGGGAAGAGAACATATCGAAAAAAAACCGCATTAACAAACCGTTTACAGTGAAGACATTTAATATAAGTAGCGGTTACACTATTAATAATACTACGCAAGCGCTTTGAGAGAGTGGGGGGAGGGGGGAACTTCTACGAGTTTTTACATGTCTGTGATGCTCTCCATGATTCTGAGGATTCGAGATTCGCGTTTTTACCAAAATGGGAGGGAGATTTCGATGTGTCGGGAAATAAAAATTTTGTGCGCGCACGTATGCGAAGATGAGGGGCAAAGAACTATTGCGCGCAAACTTTCTTACCCCTCCTCTTCCATAAAAATTTAACATTTCCCTCGCGCGTATCAAGATAACGAACGATGATGTTGGAACTAACGGAGCGAGCGAGGTTTTAATTAAAAATAATAGAAACAAACAAGAACAATATAATAATAATAACAATTTAGGATGCGAAATCTCGGCAGCCTCCAACATGGCACAGCACATCCGAGCAGAAGAGAAAGTTTTATTTCTCTTCCGGCTGTAATGTCGAACGTCGGGTATATAGTCACAGGCTAATAACTCAGAGATAATTGAAGTTGTTAAACATAAAAGTGGAACCTGTTATATATCGGCCGTAATAACAATTTAGTTTATGACATAATTTTCATAAAGTGCATTATTTTATCTTACGATAATTTTAAGGTCGATTTTACGACATCAACATCATATATATAAGAGGTTCTACCGTATGCGTAAAAAATAAAAAAGAAGAAATGTGTTTCATGTGCTAAAATAAATATATCTGAATATTTAATATTTATAATAATTATTACAATCGTATTTTATAACAATTAAAAATATTGTTAAAATTTGTTGCTTGAGATTTAAAAACAATTACAGTAAGATAGTAAAAAATAAAACAGATAAAAAAACTAGATACACGCGTGTAAATGTGTGTGTAAGTAGTATATATACACCCACACGCACATTTCAAGTTTTAAAAATAATATAAATTAAACCCTCTTTCTCCTCGACTGTTACACGTGAACATTTCCGCGCGAATCTAGATTTTTTTTTTAATTCTGAACAAATAAATCACATTCGCGCATTCCGGAAGACATATTTGCATTGAGCAATCTGATCGTTGCGATCATCTCGGTGTAATCGGCTGACTTACATCGCACATTGTCATAAATATCACATGTAAAATTACGCTTAGTCTAATATCGCGACGTATTACTGTAATATTTTTATATCACTATAATATTGTACATTACTGTAATAATTGATTTTTTTTCATATTACTGTACTTGGAAGAAATGTCAAATTAATGCGAGAGTCGGTTGTATCGGAGCGCACAAACCTACCACGAGCATTAATTTGATAATTAATTTTCTTTATATCTGTAATTTTACTACACTTAACTTGATGTTACGTAGCAAACGGTGGTTAAAAGTTTTTACACATTTGTATGTAAGAAAAAAAAGAGGTTTAAATTAGTAGGTATAAAAAAGGCTTACTTAGGATTCGGTGCTCTCGGGAAATCTACTGGGGAAGTGGTGATGTGCGTGTGCCGGAGCGGACGATGATTGGTGGTGTGAGTTTTTTTTTTTTTTTTTTTCAGGGATACGGGATTTGAAGTGACGCGGACGATGCGTACTCGGAACGATGCGTGAACCACGAGCGACGTGCTACGAACGGGAAGATTCTCGGTCGACCGTGTCTTCGTCGCGATGAGATCAAGGCCCAAGATCGGTTTAACCAACGCTTCGTCAATCTCCTGTCGTAATTCATGTTTTTATCTGCTCGATTAAAGAGGCACGGGCGATATCGATGGCGATAAAAAAAAAAAAAAACCACCGCATGTTGCTTTTTTTTCTGTTTTGTTAACTTACTCTGGCGAATGAACAAGCGCACAAACCGTGGGTTATTTTTAAGGAAAATTTCCCCCATAAAATATATAATCAGGCTTGTGACTGGTGTTACGTACATGCGCGATTTAAATATATCAAAGAAAAAAAAAACCAGAATTCGAGTTAAAAAAGAGTTAGGTGTTTTTCTCGGATCGCACCCGCAAAATGTGTTAAATATGTTTTTCTCGAGTATTAATAGAGAGATATAATGAGAGCTACTGACCTAGAAAGCCATGCATATTAAGTTTTAATAAATCAACATACACACGGTTAATAAGGTCGCAGAGAAACACGTAAGGTTGTTATGACACATGCACTAAAATGGTAAACTGTCTGCGAGGAAGATAATGGATCTTGCGAAAATCGCTTGAATAAATAACAAAATTATGAGTAATATCTTTGTTCCAATCAGTTCAATTTGTTGCTGGTTAGCACGCACACGCGAATAAAATGATAATCGCAAAACTTCTGCACCTTGGCAATTAGAACGTTAGAAAAGCATCCTTTTTTTTACGTTGTCTAAAAAAATTTTCCTATACGGATTAGATAAAAAAAAAAGAGAGAGAGAGAGAGAGAGAGAGAGTTTTCTTGACAAATATGAAAAAGTGCAATCACTTACGAGCTTCTGTAATCCTGATTGTTGAATATATCACCGGGATCGGACCGCCGGATCTCGTTTTCCCGAGCTGCCTCCGTCACCGATTTCCAAACCGTGTTTTTCACTCTGATATAACAAAAGCGATTTTTTTTTTTTTGCACGGAATACGTGACACGCGTGTGATTTACGTAGTACGTAATCGTTGAGAACTCACGCTTTCACCGTAACGTCCAGAAGCAATACTGCTGTCGGTATTAGTATAAGTCCTAGCCAGAAAACAGGCGAGGAAAATAACATCTTGTCATTGCCTAACATCACAGCACCGACGTTCAGAACGGGCCAAAAATTGCTGCAAGTGTGTAAGAGAAAACAGTGTTTTTTAAACGAATGTAATGTTTTATTTTATTATTGTGCGTTGTTAAAAATATCAAAAAAAACAATCAAATCTTACCTATATATAAAAATAAATAAGAACCAGAGTATAATGGATCCCCATGTCGCTAAATGAGTGACCCACGTCCACGAGTTTATTATTAGACCCGCCTTCGCGCACACCGTCACTACAACATACTGAAAACACAACGCAATGTTAAACGTAATCTCTTTCATAAAAGAGAGCGGTCTCTCTGTTCACGCGGAACATGACACTCACAGTATAGACGAAGTTTCCTAATAGAAGATAACCGCCGTCTCTGCCGTTTGCCCAGACCACACCTTCTTTGAGAGCCATCAGAGGCAGCCAATACAGCAAGGACGAATGGATCAGCGCGTTCGCGATCCATATCCAGAATACCTGTTTCGACACGAGATGTTTGTGTATTGAGGATTCGAAAATATGATTGATTGAAAAAAAAGAAAGACCTTTGCTTGGGTTAAAATCAATAAAATCAGCAGATATTCGGTCTTTTATGAAAAAAAACAAATGATTACCTTAATGTTGAAGAAAGACTCTCCGTTGTTCTTCGTCGCGTACAAACCCGGATGGGCCAAGTGAGTTTCCGCGGAACACACTTTATCGAAAAGACCCATGGCTAATGGCGGCGCAGCGGTGAACACCTACAAAACGCACAACTTGTGTGAAGAGTTGACTTGATAATTTTTTGACAAAACAGCGAACGATTTGTCACGAGGAACTCACGACATTGTAGAGACCGATGGACCATCGTTCGAATAGAATCTGTCCGGACCATCCAGAGTAGATAGCGAACCACAATTCGATAACGTAGAGACAGATGTTCTTGTAGAACGAGTAAAGAATCAACTTGCACATCCTGCTGTAATTCCACGAGCCGTGAACGAACAATAAACGTTTCAAAAAGCGAAACTGCGCGATGGAATAATCGGACGCGCAGGCCGCTTGAAGACCCTCCACACCAGAGATGCCTGCGCGAGAAACGGAAGAATTTTCAACAATCAACAAAAAATCATGAGAGACAGAGAATTTGACACAATGCGATAGAAAAAAAAAAAAACTTACCGACGCCGATGTGAGCTTTCTGTATCATGGCCACATCGTTCGCGCCATCACCGATCGCGAGAGTCACGGCTTTTTTGTTCGTCGTGATCAAATCGACCACCTAAATAAAAAGAAAAACCAATCGAGAATTCGATTAAATTTTGTTACGATTTTTCGCGAAAAAGTTAAAAGCAACTACCTCGGACTTCTGAATCGGCGAAACTCTGCAACAGATAACCACTTTGCAGGCCGAGCACAACTCCAAGAAATCCATTCTGATGTCGCAAGACAGAGCGTAATCCAGCGTGCTGCCGTCTATAATTATAGCTACATCGTTTTGGCATTTCAGATCGATTCCGAAATCATTGCAGCGTTGAATAATCACCTCCCTCGTTTTCTGCGAGAAACACACACACACACACACTTGTAAATCGCGTAAGGCGCGTAAGAGTCGTTTTTTTTTTTTAATGATTATTCGCTCACGTACGTCTAAAGAAGACTCGTTGATAATACAAAGTGGCATTCCGTGCGTTATCAGTTTGCACGAGTAACCGATATTTATCGCGGTTTCTTGTTTGTCTCCCGTCAACACCCAGACTTTGATGTCAGCCTGCAGAAGAGCCTGGATTGTTTCCGGCACCTGAAAGTTTACACGTTGTTGCGAGAAGAGTAATAAATATATCGCGCGCTTTTGCGACAGAAGACACGTGTCGACACTTGTAAACATTACGAAGAATAGAATTCCGCACCTCATCCTGTAGTTGATCCTCGATCGCGGTTGCTCCCAGTAACGTTAGTTTGGTCTCGATAAGATTCGCCGCCTGTTCTATCATGCTATCGCGATTCCTCAAACTGATTGACGCGTTATGATACGATTCGCGCCACCACTGTCAAATAGAAATGACGATCAAAAATCGATTAACGTAAAAACGAACGATTTTCCGCCTTGCGGAAACCGAAAACGAGACACTACCTGATAAACGTCCTCGGATATTTCCGCGGAGGCGAAACAAAGCGTTCGCAATCCGTCGCCGGCGAAGGTCTCCAAGTGCTGGAGAGTCGTTTCACGAAAATCGTCGACGTGTCCCTGATCGAGATCGCCGGTGTCTAACGGAATAGGTGTCAATCGCTCGTAGATCACAGAATCCGCGCCTTTGCAGAAGATCTTGATTTTTCCCTCGGGCGTTCTCACCACCAGCGACATTCGCTTTCTGGCTGAGGTGAACTCGATCACGTTCAGCACTTCGTAACGCATCGTCTCGCCAAGAGCAACGATTTCCACGCAACTGGGTGTTCGCGTGTCGAATACGTAATTAAACTTACGCGCTCCGTCCACCAACGCTCTTTCGTCTGACACACAAATAAACGTAAATGTGATAACACGAAATGACAACATATTAAACTGTTGTGCGTATCTTATTGCGTTATTTATATAAATCGTAATTATCATAATTTACCCGGTGATGCGGCGTGATAAATTATTGAGTCGTCCAGTTTCTCTGGAATAACGGTGTGACAGACCGACAGCATGACCATGAACTCGTGGAGCACGTCCGCGTGCTGCGCTTTCTTCTTGTCGACGGGATTCTGAGAATCCGCCATCGACCTTCCCTCGAGAATGTCTCGAATTAGCTCGCAATTGCTGTCGCTCGTACCTTCGTTTAACGGATTCGGCAAGCTATAAAACAATATCCGTATATTTGATATATAACTCGAGTCTCAAGGGAACGGAAAGCAATTCGAGCCGTCGAGAGGCTCAGATGAAATTTAAATAATATTTTTTCCTGGAGAAAACTTTCTCCAGGAAATTGGTAAAAATTCGAATCGAGAGCGAGATTCGATATGCAACTCACTCGTATATTTTCCCGCCGACCGAACAACGCTTGAACTCCATAACGTTCTTCGTGAGGGTGCCGGTCTTGTCCGTGAATATGTAATTCACCATGCCGAGTTCCTCGTTCAGATTGCTCGTCCGCGCCATCGCCGGGGTGTCCGTCTCCGCGTGATACATCTCTATGTCCATGTTGATGAACGTGGCCTGAACGAATCTCACAACCTCGAGCGTAACTTGCAGCGATATCGGTATCAAATTGTTGAAGAGAATAATAAACGTCAAGAGATTGTAAGCAAAGTTCTTAGTCATTTCCTCTGAAACGAGAGAGAGCGAGAGATAACAAAGATAAAAACTTTGAGAACGAAGATAATCGCGAACATCTTCTTAGGAAGAGATAAGAGACACGTACCGCGTATTTGTGTTTTTTTTTCTTTTACCTTGCAAACCCAAATACCAAAGACCGTCTTTGTTGGCGTTCGTCCATATGACATTGAATATCGCCGAAAGAATGCACAACAAAAGAAGTATGAAAAATAGCATCAGTATCTGGGTGTTGATCAAGCGATCGAGGGTGGAGCGTTTCAGCGGCGCTGTCGCGGTATTATTCTGCATGAGCTTCGTATCGTGCCCCGTGTATATCACTACGCCGAACACCCATCGTGTGTTCCGCAACATCGCGCCACGGAGTAACAACTGATCGGGTCCTAAAGCTACGCTCCTGCGAAATAACAATACCGCTTCGGTTGAGACGCAAAACGAAACGCGCACAGAGACTTATTCGCTCGCAAAACTATCGGATATCGTATGTGTTTCCTTACTGCTTGTTCGTCTCCCGTAGAACTCCGCGAAACTCGTAGAGGTGTCTGTTGGGCGGCTCGCATTGGACGTTCGCGCGAAAGTTCATCAGCTCCGCGGTGTCCAGGAGACTGGCAGTGTCGGGATGAGCCTGTCGAATCTTCAGATTCGTCTCGCCGTCCAGATTGGCGGTTTCGATGAAGGACATACCCTGCGGCTCCGATGACGACAACAAGACCAAATCAGCGGGAAAGAAAGTGTTGTTGTGAACCTATGCATATTAAAAGAAAAGCGATTCTAGCGGGGAGGGATGCGTGTGTGGCGATCGATTATTACCACATCAGTGATCGTGACGAAAACAGGAAAGCAACCTTAACCACATCGCCGACGGCCACGGCGCGCCACTGCACCCACTGCCAGCGACCGTCTCTCAGCACCTCCACCTCCCTCATGTTTATCTCGTCATCAGCTCGATGTCTTTTCTATTTAAAAGAAAATATATGTATATATATATCAAATCTCTTTTTTAGTTTCTGCAGCTATTACGAGAGAGAACAAGGAGATAATTCCTCACGCGAGCGAGATACGCACAACGTCCTCGACTATCTCCTTCAAAGCGGACACGCTGAGGATGAAGATCAATGGGACCAGCGTAGTCCATCGTCCCGTCGGCGACACGTCTGGTATTTGCTACATTTCGGTACATATAAAAATTTAATTTTTTACACCGTACAATTGTCTCATTATTTGTACAACTCGATATATTCAAACATAGTCAACCTGCATGAGCGCGATGAACAGGAAGAAGCAGTTGCTGTAACGACGGAACTGTTCGAACAGAAACAGCGGTATGAACGATAGAAATGAATACTTCGCAGTGGTGATGTGATTGTTCTTATATTTCGCGGGCTGATGAGGAGCGTTGACGAAAATAACCCTCTCCTCGCCGTCGTTGTGCTGCGAGGGCGGTTGGTCGTCACCCTGTGAGCCACCATTTTCCGCTCTGACCGGGCCAACTATATAACACACATGAGATCTTTTACGATATTTTACACATATCCATTTTATTTTATTTATTGATTATGCGTGTATATAATTTTGGTACATGAATATCATTTTTTTTCTTGTCACCGACCTGTCAGAACTTCAACAACATCGCTAACGCATAAGGTAATTTCTCCCACTTACTTTCTAACAATATTACGCTACAATAAATTTAATTCGCGTTAATTGCTAGGTTTATTAAAAAATACGAAAAAAGATAAATTGCATACATCAAAATATCAAGTTAATTTTTTTTATCTGGAATCTAAACGTCGTTTCTATCGTCGTTTCTATCGCGTCTTAAATATATACACGTATTTTCCAAGAGCAAAGGTTAATGTTAAAAAAAAGTCACGTTAGAGTTTATCGAAAATTTCGATCGGTGAGAGCGTGTAACACGCTTTCCCGAGGAAGATGACATTTGAATTGCGCTCGGATGATTATTCTATAGTCTTCGACGATATAATGTCACGCGCACGCGTACGCGAACTGACAGTTGTACCGCGACACATGTGAGAAATGTGTAGAAAATAATGTAAAAGCAATATTGTGTGCGCGACACATGTTAAACTTAAGATAAAATATTGCGACACACACACACACACACAATTCCGTAGTGTACACTTTAAACACACATTCCTCGCGCATCGAACGCGATTTGCGCGTAAGAGGTTTCGTTTAAAGTCGTAACAATCAACTTGTGTGTGTGTGTGCAGACCTTTTTCTTCGTTAAGAGAATAATTGCTTTTCGAGAATGATTGCATTCTTTTTCTAAAAATAAAAGAACCAATCAAGAAGCAGAAATAGAATAGAAAAACGTTTTTTATTCAAACGAATTAAATGGCAGTAGCCGTAACTTTACCTTAAGAACGACGCGCTTAATGTGTAAATAATTGTAACAAACAACGCGTGTGATAATTGTAAAATAATTTGGAAACAATTTCCAGATCCCGTAGTTTGTTTTCTTATCGCATTCGAATTTCTCGTAGAGACTCTGCGAGAATCTCCGGCGCGCTGCGACGAGATAAAAGAAATACCGCAGTCGCGGAAAGAGACGAGATATAAGCGCATTTAGTTAATAATTCACTCGAGAGTACTCTCAGCTTCGCTCAGTTTTTTACACAAAAAAAAAGACACGCAAATTCTAAAAATATCACATTTATGCGGAAATACGTAGCTTTTTTTTTCAGAGAGTTTAAAATAAGTATCTTTTTATCAGAAGAAGATTTTGCTCCGGATGCGAATATATATGGGTGAATATTCTATAATTAACGGCGCGCTGTTGTGTGTTGCGACACAAGAGACAACGCGGAAATATCAAAGAGAAGCGATAAGAGCCCACGGGACGGAACACAAGTGAAACGTCTTTTAAGTCGAGACCGACTGCCGCTCCAATGTCACCGAGTGTTGTTATCAAATCACATCCCGAGTCGATACACACCGGGGATTTTTTGCCGCAACGTCCTTATCCCCGTACGTTTAGCACAAATTTTCCAATAAAATTTTTACACGCGCTCTCGTCGTGTGCGTGCACACGACGACCGGACTTACGGGTCTGAGCGTGCAGATAGAGATGGACACGGGATCTGAGTTCATTGAACCACTGCACCAGCTTGGTGGACGCGACTTCCATGATCGCTCTTCGTCGCTACGTCGAATCTCTACCTTCTCTCTCCTTCTCGTGTGTACGCGCACACACATATAACGTGCTGTACACACACACGTACACATACGTCACCACGGCGCACCGTCGTATCGTCGATTCATATTTAATTTCCCCGATGTCTCTTTGCACACGTGCGCGCGAATCACCGCGGCTGAATCGACAATATAGCGGCACCCGATCGACGAGGAGGAAGACAACGCGAGACGAGAAAAACGACGACAACGGCGGCGGCGGCGGCGGCGGCGTTGACGTAGGTTAGACCGTAAGAGTCCCGATAAATAATTCCTCTTAATTGCATCGATCGCCGCGCACGTCGCGCCGCATTACAACGCGAGAACTTCGCGTACACAGGAGTTGCGCGTGTCGCGTCGTTGTTCGCGCTCCGATTTCGTCGGGGAAAAACCCGATGGGGCGAGTCCCCGTTCCGTCCGTTTTTTGAGGTTATGCTCGCGCTACTACGTCGCGTCGCGCCTCCTTCTGGCCGCACGTTGCGCGCCGTCGTTTTTATTATCGTCGCGACGAGATCACACAACCGCGACACGCACCACCGTCAACGACGACTGACAGATAATAATCGTCATCCGCGCGTGAGCGAACCCTCCCTCAATCACGAGCCTCCTTTCTCTCTTTCTCTCTCTCTCTCTCTCTCTACGCGTGAGAAAAAAAATACACACGACGACGCATCGCCGATGTTTTTCGTCACGTGCGCACAACAACGCTGTGTGGAGTGAAGCGACGGCATTACGTATACAGGATGTTTTTCTCGCTGTGTTCACTTTTGCGCCGTTTCTCGTTTCTTTTCAAGAGGGGGAGTTTTTTTTTAATTACGAACTCTGTTCTCTCTCTTTTCACGGACATTCAACGAAAAATCATAATGCTAGTTTATCGCGCAACGACGCGAGTGAGATGGAAAGAATGTAAATTTATAATTAAAAAAAAACTTAAAGAAAATAAAACCGGCCGTAAGAGAAATTCGCTCTTGACGTTTGAAGAAAAAGAAACACTTATGTATTACGCGCGCACAAAGGTGCGCAAATGTTTGCCCAGTCGTCTGCGACAGATGTTCTTTCATAAAGAGACCAAACAAATAAAGAAGATAAATACGAAAACCTTGGGAAAAAAATCGTGGAAGACGCGAGCGCGTTTTTAGATGGTGATTTATCGCACCGATTATTGATTTTCTTGCGGTCGCGCGGCCAGAAGCGTTTATATGTGCTTTTTTCACGCGAAGTTGCACCAATACAACAATAATTTCTTGACAAATGGAAAATGACAATAAAAAAATAACGATCTCGCGTGTAAAAATGAGCATTAACGTCTGTATGTCACGCGCGAAACGGTTCAGCTCTATCTATATGTCACGGCCATATGTTTTTATCCGAGAAGAGATAAAGATTGTGTAATACGGTGTTACGCCGACGGTGGGTGTCGCACGTATAATCCCGGCGTTTTACGTCTCATCTTCCTCCGACGGACTCGCACACGCAAAGCGTTTGCGCTCGTTTAACCAACGATCGCCTCGCAAAAACATTTCCGCAATTAAGCATTTCCGGTTCTCTTGCGCGCGCTGCTGAAATAAACAGTCGGTTTTTGGCGTGCTATCCGCGCGAATTATCGATTTGACATGGATGCGCGATAAATAAAAAAAAAAAATAGATGCGCAATTCGTGAACAGAAGGCAAACTTTTTTCAAACACTTCTCTTTCCTTTCTTTAATTCTTTAGAAAAATTAATAATATATAAATTTTTCTTACTAATATAATATCAATGATAAAATATTATTTTGCAATTAATATTATTGTTGAAAAAAAATAGAAACAAACAAAAAAAAACCGATATCAGAAATAGCGTGTACTCTTACGTAAGAAATTAATAAACTTTCTTGTATCGCGTGCTATTTTTTCCGATTCTTCGCAGATATTAAATTTCGAGGAGCCAACGCTATGTACATGTGTATATATATATATATATATATATATATGATATCTATAAATATATACACGGGACTTTTGTTTGAGAAGCTACACGAGAGGAAATCGTGTCACGATTAGCGAACGCGCACACACATATTACGGAAAATTATTTAGAAAAGAAGCTTTCAGTTCTCCAATTGGCGAAAACTACATTTTTTCTCCAAAAAAGAAAAACAAAGATTCGCTCAAGTGTAGTTCCCCTTCACTCGACGTTCGCGAGCTTAAAACTCGACTTCCAGAGTTCCAGAAACTAAAGTACGTGATCAAACGTACGGTCGTTTTACTCTTCTACGGCTTTTTTTCGACTTTTTAAATACTTCGGATTTTACCGCAGCTTTTCACTCTAGTTTTTGAAAGCGCGCACTGAGACGGAGAAAATTAAATCACGCGAACGACACGCGTATCGGAACGTCTCGTTTGGTAATCGATCGAACGAGCTCTCTCTCTCTCTCTCTCTCTCCCTCTCTTTCTCTCACATTCAAGGGAAGAAGCCAGGTATGTAGCACATTCGGCCGCCCGGCGATCGATCTCTCGCACCATTCGACCACCGCACAAAGCGCGTACGTTCCCTCTCTCGCACGCACTCGCTTTTTACCGCACGCGATCTTTCCGGAACGGATAGATAGACTACACGCGAATGTAAAATCCGCGCTCGCTCTCCCGGGAGATATAACGATCGTCCGAATAAGAGCGTGTGGATTCTACGTCATCTCGGTGCCCTCCTCTTTCTCTCTATCTCTCTCTCTCTCTCTCTCGCCACACCCCTGCCGCTCTTTTCGGAATGTGCCAAGCGGCACGTGCGTTAACGCGCACACGCGACGCAATGATCTGTTCCGCGTCGAGTTAACTCGAGACGAGGAATGTCTTCTCTTCTCAGGTGGCACCGATCGGAGTCTCTTTCTCAGACTTCGACACCACCTCCTCCGAACGACTCCCTCGAGACTCACGTAGACGCAAATCCCGAACGGCTTTTTAAACAAGTTTTGACATATCAAATACAGTAAAAGCGTACGTTGTAAACATGAAATCGAGACTAACGAGAACAATGGTGAACGAATTTTAAAGGGAAGACAGAGAAAGTACGTTTTTTTTTCCACACTTGATGATTTCCAGACTTGTATTTTTTTAAGATGATTTTTATTTATTTTGAAAGTTGCGTGTGTGCGTGCGTGCGTGCGTGTGTGTGTTTGTGTGCGTGTAGCCGATGCGGCACTGCTCCGGGGATAGCGGGACAAATGCGTCAAAGGTGTTGACGTTGAGCCACCCCCGCGCAGAACGCATGCGCTCATTGACGGCAACAAGTTGGTGTCAGCACCTATCGTGCTTCGAGCTCAACCCCCGGTCGCGCCACCCTCGTGGAGGAACGTGCGATGGCGTGACGACTATATAAACGTTATCGATAGGCCAAGGACACCCCGCGACGCGCCAACGGGCGGACGGCTCTCTTGCCGTTTACGAACAAAGTGGCGCCGTCCAGCGACAATTGTATTTGTGTGTATGCGTGTATATGTATAAGGTGCGTAATTCAGTTTAAATTCTTTTGAAAGAATTGCAGTTTGTCACATATTCAAAAGGATTAAAAAAAAACTTTCCGATTCTCATGGGGTTTTCATGGGAATTTGGATTTTTTTTTAATTCGAACTTATTTTCTTCTCTCCCGCATTGCGAAACTTTTTGGTGGCAATTCGACTACTCACCCTCGCTGGACGATTCCGGCAATCCGGTCTCCTGGAGCTCGATGTGTTCGCGCATTCGCCGTCTGCTGCTGCCGCGCGTAACGGATTCCAAACGGAGACCGATATTGTCGACATTGTCGATGTTCCCGAGATCGATGGGACTGCCGATGATAAAGGGTCCGGTGGATTCTTGTTGCGCGCCGCTGTTGTTCGCACAGTTGCTCGCAGGTGACGCGTTGTTACGAGCATTGTTGTTGTTGCTGTTGTTGTTGTTGTTGTTGTGCAGAGGTGTTGGCGTATCGTCCATATGAGGTATGGACGAGAGATCCGGCGGTGTGAATGGTCGCAACGAGCCAGGATCGGGAACCCGGGGGTTCCCCCTGGCAGTCGGTTGCATTGACTGTGCCGGCGCCTGTAATAAAACGACCGATTTTATTTTTGCGGATCTTTCGCCTTTTGTCGTTGTTGTAAATGTGCTTCTAATTTCTTTTAATAACAATATAAAATAATTACAACAAGTAGTTTTAAAGAGTTACAAGAGTTACAAGAGTTACAGCGTAAAAGTAGCTAATTGTGATTAGGGATGTGTGAGCATTAACGCAGAGGCCAATACGAGCAAGACTAAGTTGTTGTGGTATACAGGGTGTCCCAGAATTGGTCTAACATCTCTCGTAGGCAGGTAGAAGGAGTAAAACTGAGTCGAAAAGTCCTGAACCATTTTTTTCTATTATTTATAATAAAGGAGTAATTATTGAGTAAATCAGGCCAATCAGCGCCGATCTTTAGCTAGGCGCACATCAGTAAACCGCGCGGAGCGCTCACACACACTAGGCGCGTGGCTCACTGACGTGCGCTTGGCTAAAGGTCGGCGCTGATTGGCTTGATTTATTCAATAATTATTTCTTTATTATAAGTAATAGAAAAAAATGGTTGAGGAGTTTTTGACTCAGTTTTACTCCTTCTACCTGCCTACGAGAAATGTTACACCAATTCTGGGACACTCTGTATATATATGTGGCATATATATACCATATGTGGTATATATATACCAATTGTGGTATATTTATATATTATAGAAAATGTCAGACGTTTCGGTCTGTGGTTTAGGACTTTCTTCAGTGACACAATCTACATAAAAAACGAATTTTGAAATTACAATCAATAATATAAACTAAATTATGACGTGTGATAGCAATGTAATGAGATATAAAAAGTACAAAAACATGTCTCTCTGACATGTAGTGATGAAAACATACCTAACTTAAATTTTACATAAGGCCAGACAACATGGTTATGAAATCGTGTCAAGATTGTTGTCAATGTTTAAATGTTAGTAAAAACACGACATCGAAAACACTGTACGGCTAACAAGCAAAACATGTCTTATATATAATGTACGTTTATCTCCTCCATATCTCATATGTTAACAGAAAGATAGGGAAAAATATACTAAAGACAACGACAATGAGAAACACAAAATAGGAAGATACGTTATTTTGAAATATAATTGTCGAGAAATATAAAAAATAAGGTCTCAATTTGTCAGTGTCCGACATAATATTAATTGGATTTTTTTTTTTTTGCATTTTGTGTGAGCGTGTTCGCCGTTTTTCTGTCCGTTTATTGTCTTCGCGCAATTCGAGCAAGGGAGTCGCAAAACGAGCAATGCGATTGTCGATCAAACTTGTAACAAAATGATACGCGCCTGTAGCTGATTCGCATTATTCTGAAATGTTCGACGACCCTGAAAAGGAACTCGTACTCTCGCGAGCAATCTTTCACGGTTCATTCACCCGCGCGATTGTTCCGCGTCGTGGTTGGCTACAAAAAAAAAGGGCTAAAAAAAGAACGTATAAGGTTGTCTAAAAAGCCTTCGCTTCGACAAGAAGAGAGACGGATAGATAAAACTTGATTGAGTCTCTCGGTGACCCGATTTGTCCGTTTCCCTGAATTGGCGACCATCGAAGCGAAATTATTGAGTCACGCAAACTCGCCGAACAAAAAGTCCGAATGTGTTCTATTCGGAAATCAAATCTATCGGAATTCTTTTGTGTTCGGGGAGCGACGGAAGACATTAACTCTTCCCTCCCTTCCGACGTCCTTCATTTGTTCAAAATATATTTAGAATTAAAAAGTAAAGTTTAGAAAGTTCGTTTTACACGCAAACTTTTATCAAACTTTTCTCAACGCTGAGCGTTTTTCCCAAAGTTAAATATCTAATAAATCAGAGATACTTTTTTGTATCCGACGAGTAATCCTTTTCTCTTCGACGTCCATTATTTTTTCAAAGTATACTTAGAATAAATATATAAAAAATAAATAAAATAAGAAAAAAAAAAATAAAGAGTTCGCGAAGTTTTTTTTTTTAATTTCACTAAGTTTTCAACGCTACGTGTTTTTCACCGTGTTAAAACTAAAAAAAGAAGCAGAAGTCTCTTTGGTGTCAAAAATATTGATTTAATTTGGTTAATAGCTACGCGGAGTAAATTAATCTGCGTCGTGTCCGTGTTGTCGAACACGGACGACGCGCTTCGACGCAGAATTATATTTGGCGATCGAGTGACAGACAGAGCGATGACTCATTTTCTCGACGGCAAAGATAAACTTCGACACTGACTTCGAGCGAAGTCGACATCGGTTTCACCGATGATTTTTCCGAGGGTGTGACAAGTTAGTTTTTTAATTACTCGTCGTTGCATCGACGTTTACAAACTGCGCGCGCGGGAATAATCCGCGCGGCAGAATGCAAGCGCATTGACAACAAGTGACTAACGAGCGTCTAATTGGGTGACCCTGCACGCATTGTTAATGAAACCATATGAAAAAATATCTAGCGCGGCCTTCGGATGTGTTTCGAGTGTGTTCTCGTTTTGTCTGCAACAACGACGACGGCACGCGAGACTGATCAATTGTACAAATTTTCTCGTGACGCAATAAGTAATATTCTCGCGACGAAGACAACAGATCTTGTGCAAGGTTCGGTTTTATGCGACGGAGATAAATTTCGCGCGCGCGTGCGCGCGATTACGCGCGTCTTTTTCCGCAATACGTAACGTGTATATAAGACTGGATTCATACGTTACGTGAACAAATTGTCTAAAAATTCTTAACCACTTGTTTGTTGACAATTGCAGCGTGACTGTCTATTAAAACATTTATGGTAGAATTTAATTTGATGATTTGTTGACGCAACAGCGAATGCGAATTAACGTCAGAGACCAACTGACGACGTCAAAACGACGGACTTCGGAAATGTTCCGAGTATTTTTATTTTAACCAAAACAAAAACCCAAGCGCGTGAAATATCAAAAACTTTTGAAAGCTTATCTGTTGTAACAAATTATTTAAATGTTAAAGAAATTAAAGGTAAAACAACACTGTGGAGTCGTTCCGATGCTGAAGATCCAACGTGAGAATTTTTTTCGCGACCCGTCGATGATGTGGCGACAAGATCGCGTATGAATCCGGCTTTAGCCGTGGCGCGCAACTTGCTGCGCGTATCGGAGGAAGATATCCGTTGCGAAAAAAAAACACATTTCGCATAGATAACAACGCATAGACACAAACGTGATAACTCGGAGTTTCCGTTTGTAATGTCGAAAGCGACGCGAGCGAGTTCCCACGCACGAACAAGAGAAACATATCTATGAATAAAGTTTTTCAAAACGCGCGGAACGTCCTCGATATAAAACCGCTGAGTTTGTTTTGACAGACGCAGTCGCTCACGGAGGCGATTGCGAAACTCGCGAAACGCTTGTTGTTTCACGGCACACGAATGTAAATTCGCGTTGTATTCTTAGCGAATTCGGCCACGCAAGCGAACGAGAAATAAACCGCCGGCAGATGCGCGAATAGAAGCGATTTATTCGGCGAGTTATGTGGATTTTTTTGTTACTCACAACGGTGAGACGCGTCGTCCGAGGCTGATTTTTGAGTCTCGTTTTGATGATCGATCCGGTTCCTCGTCCTGGCTATCCACGGTGGGAACTTATCGTCGATCCAAGCCTCGCGAGCGATTTACCGGCCTGGATAAGAGACTCGTTTCGAAAAACCGCCGCGATTCGTCCAGGCACTTTCAGCGCATATCGACACGCTCGGTATCGCGCGATGTTGGAAGCGACAATAAAAAGGAAGATACCGACTTTTATCCCGCTTATCGTTTTATCTTCCTATTCGAGAAAAGCCGGAAAGTACTTGGAAGACTTCTTGTGCGAACTGATAAAAATATATATCTTGTTCTTTTTATCTCATCGTTCAATTTTCATCGGAAGTGCGAATCATCTTTTAAAAAAAGTCACGTACAAAGTTACGTGTCAAAACTCTCTTGAACCAGCAAAGCACTTAAAGCACTTTAAAGCACTTTTTTTTAAACCAGCAAATGTTTAAAGCACTTTTTTTTTAAACCAGCAAATGTTTAAAGCACTTTTTTTTTTAAATGTGTCGTAAAGTTAGCGTTGCTTTCTGAGTTTGTTTTTAATTAAAATTGGTTTACAAAAGAGAGAGAGAGAGAGAGAGAGAGGTAGCAATTGAAACACGTCGTAAAAAATCTCTTTTAGGAAGAATCGTCGAACGATCGAAAAGAAACAAACTCTTTTACGTCGCAAAAAAGCGCAATAATTTGTTTATCTCACTGGAAAAAACCGGTTGACACGCAACCGATGAAATTGCGACGCTCGCGATTTCGCTTAGATTTTTCTTCCCGCGAATTTCCGTTCCGATCGCGTGAGGATCGACGCGAAAATGGAGCGCGTTAACGAGCGGCCGATATTCGAGCGTTGTTAATCATCGGCCGCGCGTACAGGCACCGACGATAACGACCACGGGCGTTGAACGACCGCAGGGAGCGGCTTTTTCCCCGTAGCGACGTTCGGAAGTCACTGTTTGAAAATCTAACGTCAACCACGTCGGGACGAGCGCGTAGCGAAAACCGATCGATAACGCGAGAACACAAAGTTTCGACCGGATAAGGATCGGGATTTCCTATATTGCGGCGCGACGATCCGCGGCGCGTGACCACCGGCCTGCGTCCGTTCGTGCGGTTCTGTCGAGACTGTCGCGAATTCCCGCGACTATCTTTGACGGGACCTTCGATTGGGAGACAACGGTGTGCCGCGTAGTTCCCAGGAGAAACCACATACATCTTTTCCGCAATTAGAACGTACGGAAGAGAAAAAAAATACACACCTCGCAAATTGCAATTTGCAAATGTTTCGGTTAACGCGCGGCCGCGCGCGTTTGAGACGCGAACTGCGCCTTTTTTTCGCGGAAAGCACTTGACACATCACACACGTGTGTTTCAAGAAGATTGGACGACACGCAGTGTAACTGCGAGAAGAGTTCATCTTTCTCTTATCTGTAATCTTATCTCTCAAAAGATTATTTGTGTTAAAAAAAACAATATAAAAATAAAACTTATTATCTTATCAATAAGTGATTAGCGATAGCGGGACTATCTAAATCTAAATCCTCCTCGTGTCTGAATAAATATTTAAATTACTCACGCGGGGAGTAATTTAACGTCGAAGAAAATTACTTCCCGCCGAGAGAGCTCGTCAAGAGTTCTTAATTATTTCTATCATCGCGATTGAAATCGGCGACGCGACGGCCTTAGTGTGTCCGATGGGAAATATCGATCGTGTCGCGTTCACGATTTCTTTCGATCTGATAAACCTCGAGACTCATTCCGAGTCATATAAATCTATGTATTAAACCCGATTTGCGCCATTGAATTCCCCGAGATCCTTAAGCAAACGTTATTACAACGCGCCGCAATCTCTCTTCTCCATGTCAGAACGAATTCGCGCATATTATTCCCTTACATCGCGCTCGTTATTTGAATAAGAATCCTCATTATTACGCGCCGATAGAGGAGAGACTTACAACCCTAATTAAGTCAATTTAGCGACGATTCTCTCTCTCTCTCTCTCTCTCTCTCTCTCTCTCTCTCTCATATGATTTTGTTTTATATTTTTCTTATTATATTTTTCTTATTATATTTTTGCAAGTGTGTGCACAAGAATGTATGTAGTTTGATAAACATTAAATGTATTTACTCTGTATCAATATATTGCGTTTAGTATAACATTTAAGCATTCTGTATTCTGCCTTGTAATGCACAATTCTGCATAAAAATTTATATATTCTATTATTTTCTTTTATATTTCTGTTAAATTCAGCACAAATTTATATATTCAATTTCGCATATTGTTAAGTACAAACATTTTCACATATTGTTAAATTTGGCATTTTCATATTTTGTTGGGTTTGACATACCGTTAAATTTGACACTTGTTTAGCGAAGTTTATATATTCAATTTCGCATATTTTTGTTGAAATTAACACTTGTTTCAGCGTTCTTATATATTTTATTGTTTTTATATGTATTTTCTTATATTTTTGAAATATTTATCACTTGTTATACATAACACTTGTTTCAGTCTTCAATTTATAATTTATATTTATAATTTATATTTTTGAATTTATATTTTTGTATTTATATTTTGTATTTATATTTTCTTCCTTCTAATCTATATTTTTGTATTTAGATTTTTCTTTACTTATGTAATTTTCTATATATTCATCTATATACTCATTTATATAGTTCTTTGTACTTATATTGTATATTTCCTGCACTTATAATTTCTTTTGTATTGCAAGCGCTTGAGGAGAATTTCTTCCCAGAATGCGATATAAATAAAGCCTAATCAATCAATCAATCTCTCTCTGTATATATATATGTATATATATATACATATATATATATATATGTGCGGCGATTATTTTTCTACGTGCTTTACGCCACACTACGATATTTAGTAATTAATAACGCGCGCCAGAAGAGGACAGAGTCTTTTCTCTTTTACGGCGAATCCAAGAAATACGAGTAACACGTCGTGACGAGAGTCAATTTACTCGCGAAGAAGTTAATCATCTCTGTCGACGTCTATCACACACTTAAAAACAATTGAGATCTTAACAGCGGGATTATTTTTTGAATGCTAATGACATCTGTTGAGACGCGAAATAGCATTTAGGTGAGAAATTTAAAAGCTCGATTGATTGCCACTTAAATCGTGCAATTTTAATTAATTAAAATTAACAGTTTTTCTTTTTTTTCTATTGTTCAATTATATCCTGCGAACGTCAAGTATCCTCGATATCTTATTTGCCATATTTTTCTTATTGATCGGATCATAAATCATTGCATCTCTTGTCGAATTCTCGTGACAATAATAATGTGAGAAAATAAGATACCCGCGCGCGCGCACACACGTGATGTTTCCCATCAAAGACGACAATTACCGCGGAAAGTGCGCGTTATTTCGCGGGAAGAGCAGAGTGGTCAATATAACACAAATACAACGGCAAGGATGGATGGTGGTGTGATGATAGAGCGCAAAATGGTCGATAGTATCGACAATGCTCCTCCTCCCTGGCAAGGTCATCGGTAGATCGTCGGCCGGAATCGTCGGTGGTAAAGAGACGCTGAATAATTGAATTTTATCGAGTTGGTAATGAGAAACGCGAAGGCGGCGCACAGCTCCCCCGATCTGCGTCATACGTCAAACCCCTTGTTTTGCGGATGCATTATGAAGAGACCTTTTTCCTTTCCTCGGGCATCAAGCTCGTCATTAAGACGTCGTCGGTTCCCCCCCTTCCGTTGTCTGAAGAAGAGCATATCATACATACACTTTTCGTGTTAACGTCGTCGTTGAAATGTCAGTTCCCCGAGGGGTGCTTTTCGCGAAACGAACCCAGAGAGAAGATTGTCTGAGAGGGTGTGTGTGTGTGTGTGTGTGTGTGTGTGTGTGTTGTATCTGGCTGTACCTCTGATGTGTATTTGCGCAGGCAACCTATCGCGAGATCCCTGTTGCAAATTATCGCTTCTGACGCTTCCGCTCTTCGTACGGCAGCGTCATCAGTAATCAACTGGCGCAAATTAGCGTGATACGGAAAACGCAACGTACAAATGAGAGGAAATTATTCCCGAGATCGCGTCGATATTTTTTTCTCTCTGTCTCTCTCGCTCTCGCGCGCGCGCGAACGTTCGTGTATTACAACCTGTCGATTGTTCAATTTTTCGCGCGACATATACGTCTCCGCAAACGTTGCGGTGGCTAATCTGCGAGAAAAAACAAATTAAATAACTTTTTCATGTGACGATAAAATGAGACGTGAAGGCGCGGCATCGTCAACGTTGATCATGTACGTTGATTATGTTTCGCGCGGGACTATATGCAACAGCGCGCGCGCGCGCGCGTGTGTGTGTGTGTGGGTGCACGTGTTTGCAATTGATAATGAAGCGAATGTATATCGATAGGCCGCACGTAATGCCACACCCTTCCACGAAATGAGGCCGCACACGACCCTTGCCATTATCAGCCGGCCTGGCGGAACGAAATTAGTTCATCGCAAAGAATCGCCGCGCTTCGCAGGACACGAGTATATGATCTTTACGCGAATGTCGACGTGACTCTACCTCCCCCGGTATATGTTTCTCCTGTGCCTTGACCCTTATAAACATTAATAGCAAAACTTATTTATGCAAATCTATTTATATTGTAAACATATCGAAGTCTTTATTTATATATAAATTTTATCGATATTTATATTTCTCGTATATTTAAAAATCTTTCCTTACGCGTACAGATTTTTATTTCACTTCTTATTTTCAAATATCCATCTCTTTAATTCGCATATTTCTCATATTTAGTAAATTATTATTGTTATTGTTTAATTAGACATTAAATTTCTTTCTCAAGAAATTTAATGTTTCTCACTTTTTAGGCGGGAAGATAAAAAAAAAGAGCCGCGTGAAGAGAAGGTAAACGAGTTCGGGGTCAGTATATGCAAATTTTTACACACACACACACATACACACAAGACGATCGATCGAACGATCGCACTTGCGAAATTTCAACCGTGCCGTGATTACACAAGTCGCTGATGACCGTAGTCGTCGCGCAACACGTCTTCGTACAAACTTTCCACAAGAGGCGAGTTCGCGCGGCGAGATCTGAAATTCAACGACTCCGAGGGTGATCGCGTGACGCGACTTCGGGACATGTTATTCGTCATGTGGATACATATATATATATATCCGTGCGTGTGCACGGTTTCCCGACATTATTCCGGATGGTGTGCGCGAGATCCTGCGATGGGAGGGAGGGAAGGAAAGAAGCTTTTATCGGAGATTTGGGTCAAGTATTTTTCGCCGTCGCGGCCGCACCCCGTAAAAACCACAGAGTAGTCGTCGTCGGTCAAAGGGGGAAGTCTTCCTCTCTCACTCTCTCTCTTTCTGTTCGGCCTCTGCATGTCACTTTTATCTTTTTGGCTATCTCCGCCGACCGCGATGAAAAGCAATCGTTGGCATCAGAACACGCCCAGGTTCCGTTTATTATCGCGTCTGCAAGTCGCTTCGTTCGCAAAAGAAAAAGCGGAAGCGAAACTATGTGACGCAAATTGAGGAGCAAACAACGCACGAATATCGTGAGATTGTCGCCGCGATTGAAACGCGCTGAAACAACCAAATTCATCAAAAAAATGACGGATTTCTTTATTTTAAATCGCAAAACTTTAGTAGTTCTATTTTTAACAAGGTCACAATTAGCGGGAAATATGGAAGGTTTTTTGCGGGTGGAAGCAATTTTGTTAACTAACTGTTCAAATATTAGTGAAATTAGAGGAACGATAACGAATAAGCGTTTCCTTCGAGTAACCGTCAAAAATTGACGATAAAAAACTTAAGTATACATTCAACTCCGATCGGTCTGATGTTTTAAACAAATGTTAGTGCGCTCTAAACGCGATACCTTGTACAGTCAGCCATTAACCCAGAGACCGATACGGTCGAACGTAATTTATTCGTGCCTTTTTATCTGATTTGCATCGAAGCTCGGCCTGCTTTGTGACTATGGCAATTGATCTATTCTTCAGCGGCAAGTTTTTTTTATCCCTCGTCGTCGATCACCGAATGATGTCGAACTCACGTTGGGGGGGGGGGGGAGATAATTTGTCAAATCAACGTTCGCTTAGTGTGTGATAAACCGTACCTTCCTGGCTCTCGCGAAACGTATCAACTGCCCAACTCGGAGAAAACAACCGCGAGGATTATCCGGGAACAGGTTGGACATGAGAGCGAGAGGAAGCGGCAAACACCGACTTCTCCGTGAATAGAACCGCGCGAAAGGGAAACCGGATTTAATTCTGTAAACATTGAAGCGGCTCGTTCGCGCGTGGAATCGAATTTAGAACACGCCGGTTGCCACTTGTTACTCGCGATGTACATCATTTGTCTTTTAATCACGAGCCACTCCGGAAACTCTCCAAAATTATGTCACACGCAATTACGTGTGGGAGTTTTAAACATTCCCGTCTATTCGCCAAAAGTTATTAGATTCAGCGAGTGGCTCGCGAGATTAAATTGTTAACTTCAATTTTAATATTTATCCTGTTAAATAAACCGACAAGTAAATTGAATGAAAAATAAAACTAAAAAACCTAAAAAATTAAAATTCAGAGAAAGGACAAATAGTTCCAAAAATATGTAAATTTCAATGTGACAGGCAGTTTGGAACTAAATACACGGGTGTTGTTGTGCGAATAAGTGATGGTAATATTAAATTAAAAAATTAAATGTTTAATTTAATTTATTCCATTGTTTGAGAAATAAAACTTGATTCGCGCTGCAAAGACATCGGATGCGCCTTTGAAGCGTTTTTTTTTTTTTTTTTGTTTTTCGTAAGTGTACCTTTGATCGTCTCTTCGCTTATAATACGGGGGTGGAGATGATTAATTGTTGACATTTTGATTTAAATTCATGGAACGTGTAATCGCATAATCGCGCGGCCGCTCCTGTTCTTCACGAAAATAACTCGACGCAAAATTGGAACGCGCTTGGAACGAAGAGCTCGGTCCAGATTTCACGCGAGTGAACAGACAAACCCACTCTCCCTCCCCCGATGGAGGAAGGACGCGATCTCGGTAGTAAAAAAAAAATTACGCGGAATGACAAAAGGTGGTGTGTACGCCAATTAATTCACACGTCGCGTGTATTCGCTCGCTCGACTTTAATGAATCTTATAATCGCAATCGGATTAATTTTCCCGCGTTCATTTCACGCTCGGTGCATAGCGTGTGAGTCGGTCGCGTTTATCCGCTTTATACGGATTTAACGCGCGGCGACCGTTATTTTATCGATCATTTCAGAGAGTGTGGTTTTTGCCTCAAGGCTGCGAGAGTCAGGCCTCTGAATGAGGAAAGCGCGCGAACGCGGTCTCGTCGATACAACGCGACTTTTTATGTCTATCGGGCGAAGGGACGAAAAAGCACGTTTTGTTTTTATCGACACGTGTGTGTTTTTTTTGTGTCGGTGGGATGAGAAACCGTGTCCGCGGAAACTTCTTCTGTGTCCTCGTTTCAACAACAAACATACGAACCTAGATACGGAGAAAAAACGACAATGTCTCGGAGAGACATTGACGCGAAACGCGCGCGAAGACTTCGACCAAGAACAACATTAGTCGAAGATCTGAATTGGCGCGGATTTTTTATTTGAATTCAATTCGATTTTTTTATCGATCGGAGACATGTTTTTGGCGCGTAACAAATGTACAAAACTCGTCCGATGTAAATCAGAGGGATCTTCGCGGACTTCATTTTCGTCGCTCGATATTAGAAAAATCCAACATTTCGGAGAAAAGGACGATGGGATCGATATCTCGTACAAACGTTCAGTGGGAGTGTATATACCGCAATACAAATCACGTTTCGATTTTCACACACTTCGAGCCGCGGTGCTCTAAAGCTGTACGGAGATCAATGCATTATGCAACAAGTAGTCAGTTGCCGTTCGTGTCGCACTTTGGGCGATATCGTGTGGAAATTTCAAGAATGCCGACGTCTCTTTGCCCTTTCTTTGGGGCTCTAACGTGTGTGTGGTGCGGATATAAATGTGTGCATCTCTTCGATCGTCACGGACGATCGACGAATTCGATAGTCGTCGTAAAAGATTGTTAAACGCCGGCGGCTTCTTCTCCGTCGCAAATGACAAGTCGAGAAAATAAATAATCGTTTTTTAATTGTTATTTATCGCCTACGTACAAATGTTGCACTGTGTCTATCTTATCACCGAAGTTATCTGATTTATCTCTCATCGCGCTCAGTTATAATGACGCGCACCCTTTCGCTCTTCTTAGATTTTTTTTTTTTTTCATAATTTGCAGAACGCATTTCTTATTACTCGCCTCCGCCTCTTATCAAACGTGTCAAGTGACGCGTTTTCGCTGTTTCTCAAGACACCGCGTATAAAACGACGAGACGATGTCACGTATACGTACATATTCTCGCGAAGCGAGTACGTAAAGCGCTAAAGAAACAAAAAGAGAAACGTAGAGAGTATAACAACACTCATTTCTCTTTTGAATAAATAATTCCCGCGAGTTATTTCCCGCTCTCGCCTTGTACTAAATGTGCAGAGAATGCGGCATCCCCACTCGTGACGTCATCGCGGACAACACGCATAGTTTTCGAGCGGGAGAGAATGTCAAGGCGATAAAAAAAAAAAAAAAAAAACACACAATCACATAATAAAATATTAATTTAAGCGGCGTCTGTTCGCGACCTCGACGTGACTCGTTGTTGCGAAAATTTTTTCGGGTCGTTCGGGAGCAAAGATGGAAATAAAAAAAAACAAACATTACATCACACGGTCGTCCGACGCGCCTTTTAGATTACAACATCTGAGAAACAAGAGACAGCTGTTACCGAGTTGTTGTTGCAAGTGGGACAACACGCAATTAGAAACATAAATTGTCCCTTGTGCTAAGTTAGTCGCGCCACGTACGTTTACGTGCAAATATACGACACTATACAAATTTCTTGCACGGTTCGTACAAAAAAAGATTTTCAAACCTTCTTTTGGTTAAAAAAAAAAAAAAAAAACAAAACAAAACCCCATTTATTATTCGCGACAGAGAGATCCTTATCGCGCGTCTCTCAAGCGTAACGTCTTCAATTCCGCCACTGATTCACACACACACACACACACACATACGTTGTACGAGCAGCCCTCGAAAGGGACATGCGTGCTTAAACAAGGGATGCCCTTCGTCCTACATACACACACATATCGAGTTGTACTACATTTGACATCTCCCGCCGCGTTCTAACCTCAAACCCCCATCGCAAATGTATTCGCGCGTATGTTACGCGAGAAGAAAAACGGAGTTAAAGAACAAAAACGCATAAGAAAAGAAAACACACACAGACACACTCACCCGTGCGTAGTCGCGTGTCCGCATTGACTATGCCGCACGCATGCCGCCAGCAGCTCGTCAGCATCTCACGGCGTCGGGAGATAAATCCGCGCGAAACTCCGAACGACCGCTTCGAGAAGATGAAGAGGAAACGTGTCACGCACGGAACGTACGCGCGCGGTGTTTACGCACACGCACACCTTTTACCCTACGCGCGCGAGGAGGCCGCGCGCGTCCTTACGAGGCCGCATGAAGACGCGCGTATATACCCGACGACGACGACGACGACGACACTCTTCTCACCGGACTCTTCCTCTTCCGCGAGTCCTTTCTCCGCGCGTTCTAGCGCGCCTTTTCGGCGACGACGCCAGATGCGGCGCGCGATTCTCTCAGGTGACGCGAACCGTCCGTGTGCGGGAATTTCTCTCGCGTGAAGAGAACGCGAGGAGGCGGCGGTGCACCGCGCTCGTCATACGCGGGATTGTGGCACGGCCGACGCTAGAGACCGCACTTTAAAAAGAACGCGCGCCGCGACGGGACGCGAACACGGGGCGGTGTGTGTGTCTGCATTTATTATTAAACTTTCTTCGGCTCCGCGCCGCACAGAGGAACATTTTCGCGCTGGTTCTATCCACGCTCACCTTTGCGGCGGGACATCCGCCGCGATCGCACGGTCCGCCGCGGCGACAGCGGCCCCACCACCAGGTGGTAGCAGCTGTCAATCAATCGGGTGACAGCGCGGGATTAAACGCGCGCGCGATTGGCATCACCTTTTTTTATTGGAGCGGATCTTGGACTTTCCTGAACTTCGAACGAATATCACAGAGCGAGTTATCGATTTACTTCTCGCACGGATCTGGTCTACTCGGGTTTTTTTTTTGAAAATTGCGAACAGGATTGTTGGCGTTTCGCGAGTCGATCGAGGAAATCGCGCCGCGACGCAAGATTGCGGATAATTAATCGGCGAAATATAAAAAAAAAGAGGGAAAGAGAAGGGAGAAGTATATATACGTTTTGAATATCGGAAGACCTGCGCGTTCGAGAGCAGTATTTAAAAATGGCCGCGGCGTCTGGCAACGTCTCGTTAGAAACGCGATCGTACATATGTTAGTGCGTGTGCACACAATCGGTGAACTGTACGTTGCAATTATCGCGTCAAGACGCGTCAATGGCCTAATCTTTCACTCTCTCTCTCTCTCTCTCTCTTTCTCTCTTGCGCGCCCGATCTTGTATTTATAACGGCGGATATATCGGTCCTTCGATCGGTTTGCCAAATATTTTGACGTAAAAGCGAACCGGATGCGATTTCGCAGCACCGACGGCGGGGGAATGTGCAAAGATCGGGTTAATGTTGTCATTACTACGTCGCTCGTCGTCGTCGTCGTCGACGAACCGTGAGATTTTTCGCGATCTGCAAAAAGTGTGTCCTTTCTCATTTTCCAGGTAAATAAGAGAAGCAGCGAACAGAACTTTTGTGGCTTTGTGTGTTTTCTCCGTGTGTGTGGCGTGTGAGGTTATAAAGCTGCTTGTTGCGGCTGGAGAGAGAACGTGCGTAATAGGGTAAACGTACGAGTTTAGTTTAGACGTTCTCGCAGAGGATCGTCGGAAAATGTCGCCCGGCATTAACGGCGGCGGGTCCCGGAACACGGGCACTCTGCCGAAAAGCAATCGGAGAAACGATCGGAACCGAGAGCGATCCGCCGCGAATCAACAAAACGCGAACCGCTCCGCGGCTTGTCACGGCCATCCGCAGCATTTTAACAATTTGGTAAATCCATTCAGACAATCTTACTTCTATCTCTTTCTCTCTCTCTCTCTCTCTCTCTTTCTCTTCTTTTTTCTTATTTTGCAAGTCGAAGGAAAAAAAATTTATTGAGAGACAAAAATTCTTTTATTTTATACTTTTGTCGTTATTTTTATAAATAAAGAAAGTTATTTTAAATTACTTCCTTAATGATTATCTCTGATTAAGTTCTTAGTTTCAATGTGATCTTGCTACGCGTGTGTTTATTTTTAGCTGCTCTCTCTGTGTGTGTGCGCACAAATAAGTCATGACACAATTTTTGATTGCATTACACAGAAGCGTGTAAATGGCAGACAAATTATGAACTATAGTAGATTACAATAGTTAATTTTCAACAGTTTGAAAGACATGTTTGGAGTCTCTCCGCTGGTGATATATTTCTAAACTGCTCTCTCACTAGTGTCGAATTCGGTCCTATTAATAGACCTCGGGGTGGTGGGATGTTTCTCGGGGTGGCGGGTCTAAGAATACACATTCAGAATTTCACACCGGTTCGACGGAGCAAGTGAAGAACATTGTCTCGATCCGCGTCCCGTAAGCTCGTTTTTATAATTTTGCATTTGTAAATTATAATCAAAGCGAAATTTTTATGCGCTAGTGCCAACTGGACTGGCAAACCGTGAGAGCATGTGAAAGCGAGCCGAGAGTAACGGGAGCAGCGAAAAACAGCAACACTAGATCGGCTTCCTCTCGACAACGTTCTTCGTACTTTGGCGCACATCAAGGCTTACCTGATTGCGGTAAATGTTAATCATCACATAACGTGTTCAGTTTTACTTGACAAATTAGTTAATAACGAAGAATCCAATGATATGAATCAAATATAAGGAATTGGGTCATAAGAAGTTGCACATGATGGTGTAACTTAATGAAGGCACTGCTCACTACTTTCATTTAAAGTGTGAAATAAAGTTGGATATATTGAAAATATACAATAGAAATAATTAACAATGAAAATAATTCTCTTGTATATTGCTGGAATTAATTAAATTAGTTTGAAAACCCCACCAAAGGTTTCTATGAACCTGTATTCAACTTAGTTTGTTAATTGCATGTGTATTTGTATACATATTTTTTCACATATAATTTTTGCAGCATCGCATAGTTCAGCGAGACTCAATTACAGCACCGAAGATTGCATATCTTGGATGAAGATGGTGCCACCCGTTGATTCCCGAACCCAATCGCCACCGCGACTGCAGCAGGAAGCGAAGCCTTCCAATGTGGAAAATGCGGACGCGGACACGCGCTCGAGAAAAATGGTACTGAGCCAGCGTATTTCAGAATTTTTTTCCCATCAAAAAAAAAAAAAAAAAAAGACTAGTCTAATTTTATTTCCCTTTTCTATTTGAAGCCCGACAGAAATCAAGTGGAAAGTCGCTTGGATCAGATCAGAGATTACATCAAAGTGACCGCGACTATGATGGATTCTCTCAGTCAATCTTCCGATCCTGTAAGTTCAATATTTTTGCACCAAGACGGTTTTATCGTATTAGAATTTTGATTTATATCTCCGTAACGATGAATATTTTACAGCGTGCCCAGGCCCAGAATGAAAAATTAAGCAGAATGGTGGAGGATCTTCGTGACAGCGAGACGAAACTGTCCAAATTGCTGGAGCAGTATAACAATAATGGAATTTCTGATGAGGTTATTGGCACTTGACGATTTGTCGAGACATTGTTAATAGATGACGATTTTTCTTCTTAATTAAATATCTTGTGCATTCTCCAGAGTGTCGAGAACGGGAGAGAGGATATGGATGAGCGCGGCGATGGCATCAGGGAAGTTGAATTGTTGAGAAATATCGAGGAATATCAGACCAAACTTGTGCAGTTGCAAGAACATCAGGCCAATTTGGTTGATATGCAGACACGCGTCAGAGAGAGACTGAATGAGGCGCGCCAGGCGCAGCGAATGCTTCTGCTGCAAGATAATCAGAACACCACGTCCAACTCCACGGCGTCCGAGGGCAACTACAACGCGTCCCTACCTTCTAACGTGGAGCGACTCGAGACGGAAACCGCGGCATTGAGAGGAAAGCTGGCGCAGCTTCAGTCGAAGAAGAAACGCATGGATCATCTTGTAGCAGAACTGCAGGCCATCGAACAGGCGTCCGACAAGTCGAGCAGTTGTGTTAGTTTCACATTCGAGAGATGCACATTAAATTTTATATCTTGTAAATTAGTTTTACATGTATTTGTTATTATTGAGTATATTGTTTTTTTTTTCTTCTTTTTTCATCGTTTAGAATTGCGAGGATTCAAGAAACACGACAATCAAGGACAAAGTGGCGGAACTGGCGGCGATGAAGGCGCAGCTCGCGCACATAAAAGCGCTGGTGGAGGACGGCGCCAGGATGCGCGATTCCGTTTCCGAGCTCGAACAGGACGTCGACGCGGACAGCGAGGAATGCGGAGCGGGAAACCACACGGTCGATCAATTCGGACTTAGCGAGGATCTGTCAAACATCACGTACGAATCTTCGTCTTCGTTCGACAAGGCTGACAAGGACGAAGAGGAGAAACCCGTATTCGGCAACGTGCCCACGATCGAGGAAATGAATGTGAGCGGAACGACACAGTTGTGAATGATAAATTTCAAATGTCACGTCGCAAAATTGCCACGCGGGTTTTTTCTTTCAGGCCATAACGCGAGAGTTGAAGGAACAGCGAGTTCACATCGACGCCGAGATACAACGTTTGAGACAAACTTCGCTACCCGCCCTGATGTCGCTCTCGTCCAGCTCGCCTCCGACTATCAGATCTTCGGGCGAGAAAAAACAAAGTAACAAAGTTAGCACGGGAGTGTCCGCATCTGCGGAAATTGAGCAAATGAAGCGGCTGGAAGATCTTTTAAAGAAGGTACGAATTCTTATGGTGTTTTTTTTTTGTTTACATACAGCAATGTTAAACATCTTTAAAAGAAAAAGAAACAAACGCAGCTCCCAAATCGAGACGTGAATCGGGACGCTCAGGCGCCGGATCAAAACAGCCAAAGAAGTTCCGGATCCAGATGTAGTCACAGCAGCACGCCCGCGAATCTTTGGCCGTCCTGCGCCGTTCCAGGTAAATATCACCCCGACCGGATGCCGAACGGTGTGACTTTATCGTGCGCTCACGCTCGTGCAGGTTCTAACGAGCAAAGCGTAGACGGCATATCCACGTCGGACAACTTGTTGGATATGGGCTCGCAAACCGCCGCTGTCGAGAGTGTCGGATTCAACGGCAATTTGTGCGCCTGTTCCGTTCCGCCTCCGCTTCCGCCTATGAATCAAAGTCAACATGGTAACGTATCCAAAAACCGATGATTCATATCTTATAGAGAAATAAAACTCGAAGAGAAACGTGTACATGTTACGTTTCTGTTGTAGCTTCGGTTGAATATTATCGGCATTTGCTGTCGGGTGCGCAGACCACGCAGCTGCAGGTAATGGGCACGACATTGAATCACTGTTGCCAGCTTTTGTGGGCGCAGCAACGCGAGTTGCAGTCGTTGCGCACCGCCATCACGCAGTTGCAGTCGCAGGTGAGATCGCAGAATCAGGAGAACTTGCAGCGTATCAACAACGTTGAGAATCAGGAGGAGCACTGCAATCTGAGCCGCGGCATTCAGAATCTCGGCGAGAACGGGTTGGACGGAACTTTGCCGCCCAGTTCGTCCTTGCCCAATCTCGTGTCGCTACCGAATTCCACAGCGACGTTGTCCCACACTCCGATTGTAACTTCAAATTCGCAACAGCAACAACAGCAGCAGCAACAATTGAACAATCAAGTACCGCCCGGTAATAGAGCGAACAACTATTGGGATAATTTTCGAAGGTAAAGACATGGTTTTTGCCGAGTCGACAAATGTGTGCCCTGTTGGGGATTTTTTTTTTTTTTATTTTATTATGATTATTCTTTATAGTCGATGATGATGATTTCAATATTTACGTGCAGTAGAGCCGATTATACGTTTCGTTGCATATTTATTTTCAACTTTTCACTTGAAGAGAAGAAGAAAACAAATGTTTTTAATTTACTTACTTATTCGCCTTTTTTTAAAAAAAAAGTTATTACCGAATCTCTGGCACTTTGAAACACGATTGTTTGTAACAGAAGAAAAGACATTTGATAAAAATAATTATCTAGTGACGTATAAATTTTTAGTGTATCACACGGATATGTTTTTACTCCAACATTTTTTTGCGTGTGTGTGTACGTGTGTGTTGATACTTTACATGATATCATATTGTTCGTTTTTTGTTTTTTTTTTGTTTTTTTCACTTTTCTTGTAAGTCTCTCTTACTGTGTATCACATTTACATGTAATAATAAACGCTGCAATTTGAGTTTCTCATTTCTTTGTCTCATATATATATATATATATACATGTCATCACCAAACCTTGTTTAAGATCGTATATCTAAGTACGTGCATCCCGTAATCTTTCACGATTCGAATTATGTTATCCCGTGTATAAACGAAACACTAAAGTAAAGGAACATTCGTTACGGTAGGTAGGTAAATGGGTATGTAAGAGTTTTCGAGATTGGACAGGACGTACTGTCAACTTGTGATGTTTTTTTTTTTTTTAATATTAATGCATGTCGTGACAAATGATTAAAAAAAAATTTTTCACATTATTGCGTTCAAAGTTTTGTAAAATAATCGTTTTATCTCAGCAATTGATTTCGTGTGTGTGTGTGTGTGCGCGCGCGTGTGCGTGTCTATGATTTGAATAAAATCCAAAATTGTTTTGCGTAAGTCTAACAACAAAATAGTTGCTTTTCACTTTTTTTTTCTCAATGTCATCTTCAATTTTCAGCTATTCCCGACAAAATCTACTCTCGGGAAATGTGAAGACGGTGACAGATTCGCCGAGCACAGCTGTGGTAAATTCAGTGTGTTCCGCAAACACGACCAACACTAGCGGAAGTAGCGTTAACAGTTCGCTGATGTATGTGTTTTCATCAGTGTTTAAGACAATTTAAGTCTACACTAATACAATTAACACGCGTTCTTCGTGTAAATAAAGTCCGTTTGATTTTTTGAAGAAAAGACAAGCGGAATCGGGAACAGGGAACTGACAACTTGTCGCTGACCGGTGCGGAGGCGCAGTATTCGTTGAATTTGCAACTGCCGTCGAATCTGCAACAGCAAGACAGGGAGAACACCGCTATTCGCAGCAATATCATGGCGAGCGAGGTGTCCCAGCAGGTTGACAATCTCTGGGAGGAGGCTTTTCGATTACCTTCCGCTTCGAACGACGACAATCCCTTTAGTAATCTGAGGTTTGAGTTCTTTTTGCACGATATATCAGTAATGTAACACACAAATGTGATCATCTTGCGTGACAAACACGCTCGCGATGCGAAATTCGAATAATGTTTTATCATTACAATTAGTTCAGAGACGAGAGAGGCGATCAGTTCGCTCGTTGCGGCAAATAAAAAACGACCGGATTACTTGATAATTATTCTGCGAGAAATCAAAGCGATCACCGAGGATCACAGATTACGGCCTCACTTGCTGAGATCGCTGCGCGCTTTGCAGATAGCGCGAACGCTGAACAACCCATTGGTTCGTACACACACACACACATACACACACACAAATTTGTCGCTTTGCGCGTTCTAATACGCGATTTCACTCTGTGTATCTTGCGTTATAATCGATTTTTTTTTACATATCTATGTTGATATCAAACGAAAAGAACGAAGCGCCCGATCTGACACAGAGCGAGAGTTGCCAGTCCAGCGACGAAGATTCGGACGTCGGCGCGATGTTGGGATTCTGTTTGGAGAATCCGTCGTCCGCGACGGAACTGGTCGCGTCTCACATGGACATCGCCTCGTCCCCGGCCTCGTCACAAGTTCCGTTAATAGATCAGTTGGAGACGTCGGTAAATAACATAAAGTAATTGACAGAACTCTACTGAACAATACATGAAAAATCGTTTATCTAAAATCCATGTTACAACACCGTTAGGGAACATTTTCGCTTGATTGTGCGAGCGCTCTCCCTTCCGCTGCTAATGCTAAACCGGGCTATAACGAGGATTTGGCGGAGGCTGACCAATCGAGACCCGATTCTTCCGGGAATTCTCGTCAAGAAGTATTCTATTAGCGTTTTCGACCGGTGCGGGTTGAATCGCTCCCGGAACAATTAACGATTGTCGTTAATTAAATTAAGTTCCGCGTCTCTCGAATCACCGGAGAGGAGAATCAATCGAAAATTCTCGACACTTCCGGAACACTTTTCGAGCACTAGTGAATTTTCCACAAGTGAATCGAAGCTTTAATAGCTCCGGGAGCGATTCTCAACCCAACCGGTTGAGAAAACGTTACATAAATCTTATCACCGAAAGAAAACTCTGTTTCTAAATACGAGTATAAAAAAAAAATAAAAAAAAATAAAAAATAAAAAAGAAACGATTAAACGAAATTATCGAATGGGTATATCGCACGTCGTATTTCAGCTTCCTGTTAGTAACATAGACAAGGATGAGGGGCAGGAGGAGGCGGCAGCTTTTTCTTATTCGATTGCCGCGGAAGCGACTACCCCCGATCTCGAAGGCCTCGCTGCCAAGACCGAAGACGAACGAGCGGAAGACACCGAGCTCGACAAGTTTCTTACTAGACTGCATCATTAATTTGTACTGTGTATTTGCATAAATACTATTAGCATAAATTATCTCAAACACACGATAGTATGGTACAGTAGACTCTCGCTATAGTGCCGCTGTAGGGGCGAAAATTCTCGGAAATGGCGCTACAGCGAGAGAGCCCTCTCCTCGATCAGGCGCGATCGCGGACACTTGAAGAAGACTTGTGTGTGAAAGTACGTGCGAAGGGCATTATAACGAGAGTCTACTGTAATAAACGTAAAAATGTATATCTCGATCTCCGAAAAAAAAAAAAAAAAAAAAAAAAAAAAAAAAAAAAAAAAAAAAAACGTTCGCTTTTACTACCGCTTCCATACAATTATTAACAATATTGAATAATAAATAATTTAAATCTTACGCGTACGTTTATTTTCTCTCAGTAACTGTGTTCGTTCGTAGTTCAGATGGTTTCTGAGGCGGGAGACAGCTCGGTAGAGTAGGGCACTGTATCGAGTTCGATTCTCGCCGCCTCGTTCTCGGTGGTTCGGAGTCCACGTCAAAACTTGTAGGTCCCACGAAGACGGTATGGATGCAACTCGGCGAAGATGTGCCAAGCACAAACCAACCGGGGTGAGGGCTGAACGCACGTAAATCAGAAAGAAAGAATCGGATGATGCGGACGTCGAAGTGAACGCAAAGTGGGAGAACCGGGTTCGAATCTTCGCATGGGAAGAAGAAAAATACAAAGAGAGAGCGCGTGCGTTATTAAATATAGAAAAGTAAATATTTATTGTATTTTCCCAAATACAAAGCACTGATTTATACGTTATGTAAATGCATACTATGTAGCACGCACGTTCTAATACAAACATATATTATATATATATATATATATGTACACACACACACTCAGAATGATGATAAAACAAGATCTCGTCCGGGCGCTCTGCGCTTAAATCTCCATATAATTGAGCACCACTCGCTGATGATGATACGCAGAGCATCCGTGTGTCGTGAACAACAATTTCTCATATTCGTCGCTGCTGTTGTCGTCCGACTTGGAATCATTGCTTGGCGATAAATATTTATGATCTGGTTTACTTATCGAACTAGAATTACCTGCTGCCCAAGTCTGCAGGCAGCTCTCGCTCGATGCAGGCTGTTGCTCTGTACAAACGGCAGCGTCTAAGTCAACGTCTAACGCTTCTGCCGAGCTGTTACACGTCCAATCCATACTACTATTTTGTACTTCTTGTAATGTAAGTATCGTTGGCATTGCCATGCCGTTCTCTGAAAGGAAACAACTCTTGCCAGATCTCGTTTACATATTATTCACATGATCGTCAAAATAGAATAAATATATATAATATATATATATATAAATGTATATAAAATATATAGCAAAAGAAAATAGAAAAAAAAATAATACAAAAAAAGGGAGAGTATCAAAAACTTACTAAGTTGTTATTAGTTCATGTAAAAGTAAATAATTAGCATTACTGTAAACTATAATATAATTGTAACATATTAGCATCATATATATTATATTAGCATATTAGCATCCATACTTCCCATCGCCTGTGATACCATTTATCCGTGATATAGACGGTTGCAGGATGCATTAAGCTTCAAAATAAATTTAATGCCAGGATATCTGTAGTCAGATGTAAAAGTGCAAGCCCATAGTACAAAACATGGAATGTTTATATGTGCCTGTGTATCAGTATCTGACTTGTAAAATTCATACATTCAGAGAGAGAGAATACAAACAGATATCAAAAAATTAATCATCTCATTGTCACATTACAAAATGTCAATGATGAAACATCAACAAATCGATGATACGAGATTGTGTAGAATACAAAGTAGAACATATTTACGTAACGCTAGATAAAAAGAGGGAGAGAGAATAAAAATTAATATATCCGAGTACTAATATATCCGATATACACACAATCAACTCCTCTTGTGTGTATGTGTGTGTGCGTGCGTGCGTGCGTGCGTCGGCACGTAAAATCCTCGCAAAGAAAAACTGTCACAACTGCGCGATACGAAAAATATCGAACTGACGAAATTGCTTGTCTTTACGAAAACTAACAAACACAAAAAATACTTATTGAAAGAAAAAAAATTCGTCCGAAGTGTGTTTACTCTCAAAAATGTTTTACTCTTTGCTGTAATCGGACATACACGCGTAGATATTTATAAACATTATTCACACACTTTACGTGTGTCACGTGTCTTTTTGCGCGATATATATGTATATATATGTATATAAATTCATCGTTGTTTAATTATCGCGTTAAATCCGCACACGCGAAGCGACCTCTGTCAAAAGTTTCAGGACTCACATACGAAATTACGAAATGTGACGTCGCGGGAAAACGAATCCGTCGTCGCGAAACGACGCGTCGCTCATTATTATTATTAACTTCGCCGTTGGGAGCCCCGTCCGACGCGGGGGAGAGAAAGAGATAAAGGAGGAGAAGTGTCCTTACCTCCTCGTCGGAGTCGTTTCAATCCTAACGGTCGCTCCTGACTCGCGAGGTCTCGCGTGCGTTTCAGGCATTTCCGGCCGAAGTCTTCCCGCGGGAGTTGCTGGCCACGGGAGCCGCCGCCGAGCTCCCGCGAATTCGACTGCCAATTCCATTCCTCGAGGGCCTCAAGTCGGCAGTCGCGCCACGGAAGATTGCACGAGTCTGAAATCAGGTTTTTCCGGAATGAAAAATTTGGTCTTTCATTCGCACACAACTCGCGCGCGAAATGATTATTCGCGCGCGTCTATTTTCGACGTTGACGTTGTTGTTCGTCATCCTGCCGACTTGTTGTTGTAGTCGAGATTGGTCTTTCGCAAAGTTTTCTTTTACCTTGCTGATTATCGCGCACGGTTAGCGGCACGAAACCGTAATACGCGCTGGACGACACGGAATAATGGATGTTCGTGCGCTCGTCCTGCATCATCGTCTCGCTCATCATGATTGCTCTTTGCGTGATTGAAACACCGGTTGTGATCGCAGTACCGCGATCCAAGTAACACACACCGAATCGAACAACACAACGTGCGCGCGTGTACGCGGACGTTTATATAAATGTGCGGCAACCGAGAGAAGAACAGGGGTTAGAGACGCGGAACGCAACTGTCGAGCAACACGAACACTCTCGCATACTTTTCCATACATACATACATATATGTATGTATATCGCAATATATCACAGTGTTGCCGCGCGACCAAGTTTAAGTCGACGTTGACGCCATGTGCGACCGAGAAACCTAAAGGCTTGTTGTCCACACAAGACGCGGACACAGGTCGCAGGTATCGTGAAATTGACCACGGGTGCGTTCAGACAACTCAACGGTTGAGAGATCATCACTTACGATAGGACTATTCTTCAAAATCTGCTGCGGTTCCAAAAGTATGATCCAATCAGAAGTGATTATCTCTCAACCGTTGTGCAACTGTTGAGTTGTCTGAACGCACCCATTAATCAATCAATCATCGTTACCGCTTTAGTTTTTTAAAATTGCGTTGCAAATGCGGCCAGCGATCGTTCACTGAACAACGAATTTGTAAGCAGAAAGGTGATACCATATATGTAATACTAATATATCGCTAGTCGCGTATCTTTGCAATGAGAGGCACGAGGCCCGAGAAAGAGAGTCGCACTGCAACCGACGGCAGAACTGCAGGCGCACGATCAAATCCTATTGGGCGAGGACCACCAAGAGAGGGAGCAACATGCGAGAGAAGCTGCGCAAGCGCTAGAGGCAGAAGCAGACGAGGCGATGGCGCAGCTGGAGAGATTGATGGAGATGGCGCAGGAGGGCGCGCAGCACCCGGATGAGGATTCAGAGGGCAGCACCATCGGCGCGAGCGACCCGTATTGGGAAGGCCGCGAAATTTAAACAATAATTAAAAAGGAAACTAAGAAACAAAGTAGAATTCAGGATGTAAATGTATATAAAATTATTATGGTGATGGGAAATAAATAAAAAGTTATTATTAATACCATATCTGTTATTAGATAGTATAATTAGGAGATTAGATTAGAAGAAGCCGAAAGGTTTGCTTTAATGCGTTTTCTTGTATTATTATCATCATTGTTTTATTGTAATTATTAAAATTTCGGTGAACAAGAGAGATTAAGCAAAAGAAAACACAAAGGCACGTAACGAGAAATAAATAGGAAAATTAGAATAGGATTAATGAAGGAAGTAGGAGAAGACTGAAGAGAAACTTCTCGAACGTTCGGGGCAATAGTAAAAAAGAAAAAAGGAAAGATTAAGAACAAAAAATAAAAGAAAAGAACAAAGCTAGGCATTAGACAACAAAAGCGATAAAAAAAATTTATTAAGAATTATAATTTAATAAAACATACCCCCGAAGCTTCGAGAAGGTCTAGGGCTAGCAAAGGCGAGAGGGGGAAGGCGCAATATAAGGGAGCGAAACGAGACGGGAGGGATCGTCAGGAAAAGATCGGCCGAGTGGAAGGATCGAGGAAAACTCGTGGGAAACACAAAAAAAATCGACCGCGGCGATACGTGTTAAAAAATCATCCGCGTAATTAAGAAAACGCACCGATATTGCAAATTCTGCAAGTAAAGAAAAGTTGTGTAATAGTGAGATAAAGTTTAACGTTCGTGGTGGTTGTATAAAATTTAGTGATAGAATAAAACTTAATTCACGCGAATAAAGTTGTCTCATTAATTAAAAACCCCTGGTGGAGTGTTTCCTTGAATGCACAACGGCACCTCGTAAGGCGAACCGCGCATATCCTACAGTCTAGGCTGTTTGGCCATGAACAAGTCGTAAACGGAAACGATTGGCGGAGCGTCAGCCGGATCTAGACGGAACGAAACAGGGCGCCAACCAGAGGTCAGCCGAGAAGCGGATTCAGGCGAAGGGCTCAACCACCATTAGTTAATTTAGAAACGGATACGGTAGGAACCAATCGCCGAAAGGTAAGTCCCGGGGCTCCGGATTCGAAAGGGAGAACAGATATGATAAAAGGCCCGCGAGTTCGGGAATATCTTGCAAATCCTTATTAATCCAGTGCGAGTGACGGGCAAGCGGCAGGAATAGTTATTAGTATCCAGAAGTTCTATTGAGGGAAGAACTCCAATCGTGAGTACAGAATTTCGCTTGAGCGAACAGTGATATACATTAATACCTTGTCGGCTGTAAGGATAAACCGACTGGCGACCGTAGGACAGAATCTAAAAGATAATTTACGTACTAGGGACTAGGATTTAGGGAAATCCGGTCACAGCACGAAGTCCAACTATGGGCATAGGTTTGATTGGCTATCAAACCTATGATAGAAATTGTTATGTTTGTTGTTGTATAGTGTCTGTGAGATCGAAGACATTGATGAGAATTTCTGAGGGAAGTTCTTTTTCGTCTTCGTCACCGTGCCTAAACTTCAGTTGATTGGCGTGTGCACGAACCAGTCGACTTCGTGTTTGAACAAGCACATTATACAAAACTTTGCCAACCCGCTCGATGATTTTCCCAGGTATCCACGACCATTTATTAGCTGCATGAACCTGAACAAAAACTTG